GATAAGATAAGATAAGATAACGTTTATTGCTAAAATAAATGTATCTGTATACAGATAGAGTTTACAATCACAAAATTGATGATTATATTAACAGTACAAGTATAAAGCAATTAGGTGGAAAATAGCTCTTGGCTGTTTTGATTATTTTTTCCACCTAATGTTAGTAATAATAACAAAATATTTCAATTAAATAGATTTAAGGAGAACGATTAGAGATCAGGGTGCGAATTTATCATATGCAAAATAGTTTATACATAAATTCGAATAACTAGAGTTTAAAGTAATTTTCAGACATGTACACAACAAATATCAAAGCATATTAAAACATATCTAATTAGTTTTACATGAATAGCAATATATACATATATGTATATAAGTTTACTGGATCCTGGTTTGTGGCGTATATTTACATATATGTATATAAGTTTGCTAGATCCTGGGTTGTGGCGTAAATGTATGTATGTATTTATATATAAGTTTAATAGATCCTGGTTTGTGGCGTATATATGCATATATGTATTCAAGTTTGCTAGATTCTGGGTTGTGGAGTTTGTGGCATAGCTGTATATAAGTTTGCTAGATCCTGGTTTGTGGCGTATATATGCATATATGATATAAGTTTGCTAGATCCTGGTTTGTGGAGTTTGTGGCATAGCTGTATATAAGTTTGCTAGATCCTGGTTTGTGGCGTATATATGCATATATGTCTTTAAGTTTGCTAGATCCTGGTTTGTGGAGTTTGTGGCATAGCTGTATATAAATTTGCTGAATCCTGGTTTGTGGCGTATATTTACTTATATGTATATAAGTTTGCTAGATCCTGGTTTGTGGCGTATATTTACATAGATGTATATAAGTTGGCTAGATCCTGGGTGGTTGCGTAAATATATGTATGTATTGTTTATGAGTTTAATAGATCCTGGTTTGTGGCGTATATATGCATATATGTATTCAAGTTTGCTAGATCCTGGTTTGTGGAGTTTGTGGCATAGCTGTATATAAGTTTGCTAGATCCTGGTTTGTGGCGTATATATACATATATGATATAAGTTTGCTTGATCCCGGGTTGTGGCATAAATATATGTATGTATATAAGTTTGCTAGATCCTGGGTTGTGGCGTATATACTCCAGCAATCAACCTGTAAAGTTTAGAACACTGTTTTAAATAATAAATGTACTTTTCTCACTCTTCTAGTTCGGCATTTACAAATTCTAGTGAACTATTTATTTTACACCACAGTAATCAGTACACATTCTAGTACACATTTTAAAGATTACAACATATAATACACATTCTTAGTCAATAGTGAGTACTGTAGATAGTTCACATTCTTGTAAATAGACGATAGTGAGTAAAATACAGAGTACACATTTTAGTACATAATCGACAGCGGGTACAAAACATAGTACACATCTTAGTAACTAGTCGATGAGAGTTCATTGCAAGCTTATACATAGTGAATACAGGAATAGTTCACATTATATTACATACTCGAAAGTGAGAACCCTAAACAGTACACACACTAGTACATAACGGATAGTGAGCACATTGCAAGTACACACCCTAGTACATACTCGAAAGTGAGAACCCTACACAGTACACACCCTAGTACATAACGGATAGTGAGTACACTGCACAGTACACACCCTAGTACATAATGGATAGTGAGTACACTGCACAGTACACACCCTAGTACATACTCGAAAGTGAGAACCCTACACAGTACACACCCTAGTACGGATAGTGAGTACACTGCACAGTACACACCCTAGTACATAATGGATAGTGAGTACACTGCACAGTACACACTCTAGTACATAATGGATAGTGAGTACACTACACAGTACACACCCTAGTACATAATGGATAGTGAGTACACTACGGAGTACACACCCTAGTATATAATGGATAGTGAGTACACTACGGAGTACACACCCTAGTATATAATGAATAGTGAGTACACTACGGAGTAGAATACAGTTTTACCAATTACATTATTTTAGACTTCGGTTGCATCAGAAGGAAATAAATAATCTTTACAAAATGCAAACCATTTTCAAGCTTAACGTCATACTTAAACAATTGTATTTATAATATTATATCTAAATCATTGCACTTAAGCTTAGCCCATAAATAATTGTGCTAAACCCTAAATACTAAATTTGTTTTTAGGTAGTTTTGCATTCACTAAATTAAAGGAAGTGAGTCTTTTCCACAAAGTCAAATGTTTAAATCCCTGTATCTTTACAACCTGATGGTGTAAACCTTTGATGTTTTAAACTTTGATTATTTGATCTAACAGAATTAATTTGTACTTTTATCGTTTTTATTATTTTTATAATTTTTTTATTTTTTATTATTTTTATAATTTTTTTATTTTTTATTGTTTTTTTATTATTGAGATTGTAAATGTATGGCGTGAGTACTGAGTTTGGCCCTGTAAACCAATAAATTAATGAATAAATCAATAAATGCAAACTCAGCCAGACTTTATAATTAGTTACGCAATAAACTTTATCTTAAGGGAGCTGTAGAAGTCATTATGATACTTCATTTGGCAGACCTGATTCACAACCATGTTTTTTGACTGATCAATGATGACGGATTCACAACCATGTTTTTTGACTGATCAATGATGACGGATTCACAGCCATGTTTTTTGACTGATCAATGATGACGGATTCACAACCATGTTTTTGACTGATCAATCATGACGGATTCGCAACCATGTTTTTTGACTGATCAATCATGATGGATTTGTTCTTTTATACCCGAAGAAATGCTTGTAGTTACTAATACGTTATGTAACTGCAAATATGTTTTATGCTTACAAATATTTTTTATTTTTTTTGGGAATCACAGAAAATTAATAATCACATTCGAATTTTGAAAACCCGGAGAAGTATGTAAACTGTAAAGTCATATTTCATGAAGTTCATCACTGTACACAGTAGTATGTAAACTGTAAAGTCATATTTCATGAAGTTCATCACTGTACACAGTAGTATGTAAACAGTAAAATTATACTTCATGAAGTTCATCACTGTACACAGTAGTATGTAAACTGTAAAGTCATATTTCATGAAGTTCATCACTGTTCACAGTTTCCTTGCTGACAATAATTTCAGTAAGAAAAATGCAGATTTCGCCGCTGTTGAAATCAGACCAATGTTTAAAAGTTACCGATGAAAGTCGAACGTGCTACTCTAAGACGGAGAATATTTAAATAAAAAAACATAAAAGAGGGTAACTGGAAAATTAGTTCCTTGAAATTTTCCCTGTTTGAAAGTACAAATTTTACAACAGGTTTGGAAGAAGGAACACAGCTAAATTAGACAAAAGTTTAAAATTTCAATGACATAAAAAATATCCCAATAAACATATCCCAATTCTTTTCATTGCATGCTTTATTGGTTTATACCAAACATTGTGGTATGAATTTATAAAAGGTGAGCAGTCCCTTTAAAAGAATTTTAAATATTTCTTATTCATAAACTATTAATGTTTTAAGATGGATTGACCCCGGCCTTGAGTTCGTACACACTTAGGATTAAGCGGATCCATTTCAGGTAATTATCTTAATCATTATAATTATAATAATAATAAAATAATATTAATGATAACAATAATAATAATAATAATGATACTGAAAGTAACGATAATAATGACAATAGTAATAATTAAAAAGAAAAACCTTTTAGTTTATTAAAAAAAAAGATTTAGAATATATTCGTATTCCTCCTAGGCATGGATATCTGCACCTGAAGTGTACTGCGGATATATTTAAGACCTATTACAAGTCAGCTGAAAGGACTTTTCAAGGAATAGGTAGGACAAAGTATTTACAGAAAAAAGTGTAACTAACTAAGGAAATGAGAACTTGCACAATCTCTGATTTTCTAATCCTTATATCTATCCAAACTGATGTCGATATTCCAAACTTTAAATAAAGTTTTATAGAATATTCAAAGTTTAAAAAAAATTCAAAGTTTCCACAATCAGGTTACAAAGCCATCAGGATTAGAAAATCAAAGTTTGTTGCGTGTCGTCAGTTTCTTCTTCGTTTTATATTTCAATTTTTAATTGTGGTTCTATCTTTTTCTCTTTGAACAATTTTTTTAACAATAAGAAACAAATTAGCGGATTAAATGATAATTTTTCGGGGATTTTTTAAATTTTACAAAAATGAAAACTTTGGGAGACTTTTTTTTAATTTTGAGTATCCTTCCCTGATACTTCGACAATTTTGGACCGGATCGACTAAACCGTTTACATTTATTAGATACAAACAAACAGACATACAAGCAATGTATATATAAAGAAAATGGGCGCAAAGATTGAGCTAATAAATAAAAATTCAAATTCGCAAGTTTTTACCTCATATTAATTAAAATATGGACAAATTTTGCTCGCAACAAACCTCATGAAATATCCTATTTGAAGAGTTTATACGGAATTAGTTTAACATGGTGACCATGTGAACACTTGACAATTTTGACAGGTTTGAAATGTGTCAGGGTGACCGCACTTGAAGTTTGACGGAAGTCAATATAATAATGAGAATAGTAGGAAAGATGATGTACTTCCTAATCAAAAGTTTGTTTGATGCCGAGGAGCTAGAGGGGGATATTTCAATTTTCTCCCTGTATTCTCCAGCATACTAAACCTATATACGTCAAAGAATATATTTAATATTTATACTTACAAACTTATTTCAACTAATACTTCTACAATTCAAACTTGTTTACTCTTAAATATTATAAAATGATAAAAATTTATTCACACACAAATATGCAAAATTATGCGAAAATAGGCGACATTGATCATTATTCATCACATAACACATCTATCATTTCAGTGTAACTACAATTTTATCAAATCCTTATTTAGATATTTCTATGGATATCGAGGACTAGTTTTGATATAATACTAGCCAGGGCGGCGCGGCGGTTTGGATATATTTTATTTTAATTATTAAAAACATAAATTAATTTAAAAACGAAGCAAAATATAAATATAAGAAAAAATATCTTCAACTTTGAAACAGAAAATTTAATGACAAAAGGTTTTTCAATGATGAGTAGATTAATAAAAAAAAATTAATAAAAAATGAGGAAATATGTTAGATTTAGGAAAATATTACTAAACAATAAAAAATAATATTTTTGTGTGTTTCACTGATCAAAAACGTTCACAAAATTATTTGTTAATTTCTCAAATTTTTACAATTTATTTCAGACCTTGGTGAGAAAGCGTTAGGTAGACAGGGTGTTAATGGTGCTACAACTATAAAAGAAAAAGGTTTAGGTTCTTCTTTATTTGCTTTTTCTCTTTATTTCGTCAATACTTAATTCTCGGTTTTGGTTTTTAGAAACTGTGTTCTGCCTAATAAGTCGTTTCAATGCCTTTTTATTAATGATGGGTGAAGAAAGAAAAAAGTTTTTAGGCATAAAGGAAATCACAAATATAAGAAAACAGACAGTATAAATTCAGTACAGTCGTCTCTATAGTTTTGCGCATGTGTATGTAGCCTTAGTTTTTAACCTATTTTTCATTTTTTTTTGAGTTTACAATGCAAGGTTTTTGTTTGCACAATTAGATCGGATGAATACATAAATTATTAATGAATTTTTATTTAGTTGTGAACTGTGTACGTGTGCTGATCTTGTTTGGGATTTATCTGATTTATTAAATAAATCGAAATATTAAAAGTGTGGTTTAATGTTTCAAACATAAATGACTTTGTGGCTCAATTCGATTTTTATTCTCGCGCAGTCAATCTAAATATAATCGATCAAAAAAAATATTCCTTAAATAATCTTCTTGAAAAACATTGATTTTCAATTGGCAACATCTTTGTTTTTTGATAATTTTTCTTTTATTATCATCAATTCGATGTCAATGTGAAAATGCTAAACGAGCAGAACTAATTTTTGACCAAAACTTAAAATCAAATTGTTCAAAAATGTTATTGTTTAAAAAATTAATAACTTGTTTTACATAACTTGTTTGGCGTATTAATAAGCCTTAAAATAATGTTTCAAAGAAAAGAGTGGTTTAAAAAATACTTATTCCAGATAAAAATATACAAAATATCAATTTCTTAACTTAAGTAGTAGATTTAATTCTATTGAGCAATGCTAAACTTAAATATTTGGACTTTAAAGAAACCTGTTTATAAAAATGAAAGACTAATAATACAATGCATGTTTATGTAGAGAAATATCCCTGTTTGAAACAACGTCAAAAATCAATTTAAAAACATTATTATTATTCTCCTTGGTTCTCCCTGGCTCTCCATGGTTCTCTCGGGTTCTCCCTGGTTCTCCCAGGTTCTCCCTGGTTCTCCCAGGTTTTCCCTGGTTCTCGCAGGTTCTCCTTGGTTCTCCCTGGTACTCCCTGGTTCTCCTTGGTTCTCCCTGGTTTTCCCTGATTCTCCCTGGTTCTCCCTGGTTCTCCTTGGTTCTCTCTGGTTCTCCCTGGTTCTCCCTGGTTCTCCTTGGTTCTCCCTGGTTCTCCCTGGTTTTCCCTGGTACGGTTCTCTCTGGTTCTCTCTGGTTCACATTGGTTGACCAATATTCTAATCATTAAGTTAATTCCGTATAAAGTTATGAATGGTGTTAACTATAATGTTGTTATATAATAAATGTAGAATTGAAATAAATAAATTTACAATTTGTTTAATTCCTAAAGACACAGAGAGAATTTTTTTTTTATATCTATATAATACAGCTCTTCGCTCATATATATATACATATTATATGGTAGCTATAGCTGACCAAACGGCTGGACTAAATTGGCTGATATTCTTGAGGGAACACCGCTGGTAACGTAGGCTAAAAAATCGTTTTTTCTTCTTCTGTGTTTTCCCTCTGTGTTTTTTTTTAAATTCCACCTACAGCGCTGGACAACTATTATTTAAAAAAAAATTAGACAGGAAATTTATGAGTGGCAATGAGTTTACAGTCCGTTTGAAATGACGTTTATGGTCCGTTTAAAATCACGCTTACGGTCCGTTTAAAATCACTTTTACGGTCCGTTTAAAATCACTGTTACGGTCCGTTTAAAACCACGTTTAAGATCCGTTGAAAATCACGTTTACGATCCGTTTAAAATCACGTTTACAGTCCGTTTAATCCCACGTTTATGGTCCGTTTAAAATCACGTTTACGGTCCGTTTAAAATCACTTTTACGGTCCGTTTAAAACCACGTTTAAGATCCGTTTAATATCACGTTTACGGTCCGTTTAAAATCACGTTTATGGTCCGTTTAAAATCACGTTTACGGTCCGTTTAAAATCACGTTTACTGTCCGTTTAAAATCACATTTACGGTCTTTTTAAAATCACGTTTAAAGTCCGTTTAAAATGTTGGAGTTTACAGATTTTATCTTTAATCTTTTAAATGTTTAATCCTGTTTTTAATAATATCTAGTATCTATCTATCTATGTTGAGTGATTGTATGAATATTTTAATTTAGGTTTCCCTCAAACTATTCCTTACACCTGCTCCCTTTAATAATCACGTTGTTTTACCCTCAAACCAGAGACTATCTAGAAAGTATCTAGAAAATGTCTAGAAAATTTCTAGAAAATATATAGACAGCATCTTGAAAATTTCTAGAAAATATCTAGAAATTAACTAGTATCTAGAAAATATCTAGAAAGTATCTGGAAAGTATCTAGAAATTAAATAGAAAGCATATTAGGAAATTAACTAGAATGTTTATAGAAAACATCTAGAAAATATCTAGAAAATATCTATAAAGTATCTAGAAAGCCTTTAGAAAGTATCGAGATAATTTATTAATTTATACAATTACCTAACTAGATATTTATTCATCGGTTTTTGGTCTATAAACATCTATTTAAACAAATATCTAGTTATCTATCTATACATCTATTCTAAACAAATATCTTGTTGTCTATCTATACATCTATCTAAAACAAATATCTAGTTATCTATCTATACATCTATTTAAACAAATATCTAGTTATCTATCTATACATCTATCTAAACAAATATCTTGTTGTCTATCTATACATCTATCTAAAAAAATATCTAGTTATCTATCTATACATATATCTAAGCAAATATCTAGTTATCTATCTATAGATCTATCTAAACAAATATCTAGTTATCTATATAATAGATCTATCTAAACAAATATCTAGTTATCTATCTATACATCTATCTAAACAAATATCTAGTTGTCTATCTTTACATCTATCTATACATCTATCTAAATAAATAAATATCTATTGATCTATCTATTTATCTATCGTGTTTTTAATCAGATTTTCAGCAAAGTTTAAATCTTTAAAACTTTTAACCAGCTTCAGTAATTCCAGACTTCTACTATTTCACAATATTCAGAGATTTATTTTAAACTAATATTTTACTTTTTTGCGTTTATTATGATCTTTCTACATTATTATACGTGGAGAGGGATGAATTGTTAAAAATCATCATGATTTATTATTTTAGTTTTAACAACTCTTATAAATCAATTGATCTAATTAAGGTGGATGAATATTAATAAACGCACAATTATGTCCCCTCCTGTCTTATTCTGTTTTCTTCTCCCCCTGGCCCCTTCATATAGTTTGAGACAAAGTAATGTTTTCCGTAAGTTAGCCCCTAAGTAACTTAATTACACTGTTTCCCCACAAACTTAGCACAAGGATTCCTGTACACTATACTGTGCTTTACACTAGGTTTCCTGTATACTTTACTGTACTTTACAAAAGGTTTATTGTACACTATACAGTACTTTACACAAGGTTTTCTACACAGTATAATGCACTTTACACAAGGTTTCTTGTACACTATACTGTACTTTACACAAGGTTTCCTGTACAGTTTACTGTACATTACACAAGGTTTCCTGTACTCTAAACTGCACTTTACTCAAGGTTTCCTGTACACCATAATTTACTTTACACTAGGTTTCCTGTATACTATATTATACTCTACACGAGGTTTCCTGTACACTATACTGTACTTTACACAAGGTTTCCTGTAAAATATACTGTACTTTACACAAAGTTTCTTGTACAGCTGTACTTTACAGGAGGTTTCCTGTATAATATACTGTACTTTACACAAGGTTTCATGTACACTATACTGTACTTTACAAAAGGTTTCCTGTTTACTTTACTGTACTTTACACGAGGTTTCCTGTACACTATACTGTACTTTACACAATGTTTCCTGTAAAATATACTGTACATTACACAAGGTTTCCTGTAAAATATACTGTACTTTACACAAGGTTTCTTGTACAGCTGTACTTTACAGGAGGTTTCCTGTATAATATACTGTACTTTACACAAGGTTTTTTTGTACACTATACTGTACTTTACATGAGGTTTTATGTATAATATACTTTACATTACGCAAGGTTTCCTGTACCCTATACTGTGATTTAATCAAGGTTTCCTCTACACTGCACTAAAGACGATTTGTACAATTCCCCTACAAATACTGTACACTGTAAACTGTACGGTATACAGTGTACTTTGTAATATCTGCAAGGCATATTTCTCTGCCCACACATCTGTACAGTACATATAGTACATATACAATATAAGTAGCATACTAAACATTTTTGAGTCTTTTTTAAGCAACACACACCTTTCCTAGAATTTTCACACAAAAAAAACCTGAAACAAAAATTTGTAAAACCAACATTCTTTTTAACGTTTAAAATCCAGACAATTTTTTAAAGTAATTTTTGAAAAGAAAATAATATTAGTTTCTTCCTATTCAGTTTCTCCATCCCTCGCTTTCTGCACTAGTATTCACTTCCTTGGGGAATAATTGACTCTCCCATTTATAAAACCGCAATATGAAGACCCCCCCACACCCCCCTCCCCTCTCCCTACTTCCGTCTGTTTGTATACAATCTGTCAGCGATCAACCAGCCGTGACATTAGTCATTTGACGTATTCGTATTTACTCTTTACTTTATCCATAATCTTATATTTATCTTCTATACTTTATCCATAATCTTATATTTATCTTCCAGACTTCATCCATAATCTTATATCTATTTTTTATACTTAATCCATAATCTTATATTTATCTTCTATACTTCATCCATAATCTTATATTTATCATCTATGTTTCATCCACAATCTTATATTTACCTTCTATACTTTATCCATAATCTTATATTTATCTTCTATACTTAATTCTAAATCTTATATTCATCTTCGATATTTCATCCATAATCTTATATTTATCTTCTATACTTCATCCATAATCTTATATTTATCTTCTATACTTCATCCATAATCTGATATTTATCTGCTATACTTCATCCATAATCTTTAATTTATCATCTATACTTCATCCATAATCTTATATTCATCTTCGATATTTCATCCATAATCTTATATTTATCTTTTGTATTTCATCCGTTATCTTATATTTATATTCTATACTTCATCCATAATCTTATATTTATCTTCTATACTTCATCCATAATCTTATATTTATCTTCTATACTTCATCCATAATCTTATATTTATCTTCTATACTTTATCCATAATCTTATATTTATCTTCAATATTTCATCCATAATCTTATATTTATCTTCTGTATTTCATCCGTAATCTTATATTTATATTCTATACTTCATCCATAATCTTATATTCATCTTCGATATTTCATCCATAATCTTATATTCATCTTCGATTTTTCATCCATAATCTTTATTTATCTTCTGTATTTCATCCGTAATCTTATATTTATATTCTATACTTGATCCATAATCTTATATTCATCTTCGATATTTCATCCATAATCTAATATTTATCTTCTTTATTTCATCCATAATCATATATTTACCTTCTATATTTCATCCATAAGCAATGCATATGTCTTGATACTACCTCCGATCCCTTGACACTGTCTTCAATCTCTTGATTCTTCCTGCGACTCCTTAAGACCTTTTACGATCCATTTATGCTTCCTTCGATACCTTGAAGCTTCCTACGATCCTTTAATACTTCCTATAGATTTCTTTATACTGTCTACAATTCCTTGATTCTTCATCCGACTCCTTAATACCATTTACGATGACTTTATACTTCCTACGATTTATTGATACTTCGTACGATCCCTTGATACTTCCTACTATTTCTTGATCCTCTCTACAATTCCTATGATCGCTTGATAGTTCCTAGGATTATTTGATACTTCCAACGATACCTTGATAATTCATACGATACTTTGATACTTCCAACAATTCCTTGATAATTCCTACGATCCTTTGAAACTTCCTACGATCCATTGAAACTTCCTACGATCCCTTGATACTTCTTACAATCCCTTGATACTTTTTTCGATACCTTGATACTTCCTACGATTCCTTGATAGTTTCTACGATCCTTTCATACTTCTAACAATCCTTTGATACTTCCTACGATCCCTTGATACTTCCTACGATCCCTCTAGTGCCTAGATATTCTCTCTTGTTTTTCTCTCTCAATAAAGGGATTGATCTATTTGAATATCTTGAAAGAGTAATAAATTCAAACTAACGACTAATAGGACTAGAACAGGGATAAATATATACTTTTCCGAAGAAAATATAATAAAACTCTTGAATCTGAATAAAAATGCAAAAACAAATCCCAGTTTGGTTTAGTTTTGACGAGGAAGGGGTTAA